TAGAATGTGTAAACAGTTATGCTGTGTTGTGTGTAATTCTGTTAACTGTTAGAAATATTGAATTGATGACAAAATTAAAATCATATTTAAAGATTACCTCAATGTGTTTATATAAATTATTGACATACAATGCTAAATTTCTACCACCTAAGGAGTTTGTAACACTAGTAAAATAAGTAAATATTGTTATAAAAAGCAAAGAAAATTGTGCCTTTTATCTTAAATGCTGTTATATCTGATGAACAAAGATCTTTAATTTCAGAAATACCAAATGAAAGTAACTCTATAATAGCCATTTGCTCCATTTTTGAGTCTGTAGTATTTTTTCAAACTTACATTTCACAATTTAATACATTTCACACAAACGGTGTGAAAATGCAAAGTACAAATTCAAGGTTGCACGGAAGGCACATTTTAATTATAGTCATCACAGATCAGGTAAAGATGAAGATGGAAGAAAGTGCATGATAAATTAAATATGATTATAAGTGAAAAGGAAGACTTCCATTTATGAAATCTGTTTTTTACAAATACTGACTGAGAGGTGATTTAAAAGTGATTTTAAGAGAGATTTTATTTAGAAAGATCATCAGGAAGTTGCTAGCCCAAAACAAAATCAAACACAAATCATGGATTACCCAGGTCACCTAGAGTGGTGTCACAGAAAGGAAATTGACATTATCTCTTCATGGTAGGGAAATATGTATTACCATTAGCCAAGCACACAGTTAATAAATTAAAGTAGATAACATCTAAACCAAATTTGTCCAGCATTTCAGAGAACACCCCCCTTAGGACTCTAGGTTTTAATTTTTATCAGTCTGATGTTGCTACCTGGCACCCTCTAGTGAAATATAAAGCAAACACCACAAAATGAACACTACAATATATACTTGACCTCCACAAGACGGAATAAAAGCAAAGAATAAATTAATGAATAGTGCTATGTAACAATGTAGATATTTTCATTCAACCAAGGAACTGATGTTCTGAAGGTTTTGATGCTGAATGTTTGTGGTTTATATTCCCAGCTGGTGACAGCACTATGGTACAACGATCTCTTCTGGCCTGCTTAACGTACAGGATAAAAAACTTTCGAAATAGGGTCCATTATCAACATTTGATTTAGAAAACAACAATCTACCATTTAGTTTAATTCATCATGACACAGGCTTAGGAGCAAGAGTTGTCAATTGGATATTTACAAAATCTGAATTCTCATGAAAAAGGCACATGAGCAAAATACAGAACCATGCCACATTTCCTACAAATGTGTAGTTTAATGATTCTAATGATAGAGCACTTTATTATAGTCACAAATTATTGTACGTTCAATGAATTGTTTTATTTAGTATATAGGTTGACTTTTCTTTGTAAAGTTATTCTTTGCAAGAAAAGACATTTTCTCCTGTTTTAAATTGTCCTATTAGATATTAGCTTTATTATACCTGTTTAAATCTGTTCGTAATCCATGACAGAGACAAGATATTTTAAACTATAAATGATAAATTAACTAATATTTAATATTATTTTTATATAGTTTTGAATTAAAAAGTCAGGTTTATGCCATCATAAAATTATAATAAAAGTCCAATAAAGTCCATAAATTAAATAGATTTCCAGTGCCTTAAAATAGGAATTATATAATGACCAAACTAGCATGATGACCCTGGTTATGACATAAGGATTACAAAGCAAAATTTAAAGTCTCTTACATTATAAAATGATTTTGTGGCCATTACAAGTTAAAGTATATTCACTAAAATCTACTTAAAATTAAAATGTTAATAGTTTGATTACACGGCTGTGATCAACACTTCACATAAATGTAATTTAGTATGGGTTAAAATATAATATAAAAATGTTTTGTAAAGTTCAATTCAGAAGGCATGTGTTAAGTGGTATCATGAGTAATACAATAGCTATAAACTATGATTTATGGAGAAAAATCCAGCAGGGATGAAAGGAGCAAAGGCCTAACCTGATTTATGGTTCTAATTTTGTTTAGTCGCTGAGTTACACAGGATTTGTGATACAGTAGAGGGCAGTTGTATGCAACACAAAGCATAATAAAGTTAAAACAGTCAGAATCGCTGTCAATTACGTATTAAGATAAAAAGTTTATAATTAGACAACAGATGATACGGCACAATTATCACCTGCTTTATGTTGCATTTTATAAAGTTATTAGCATTAATTAATGAAAATAATTTAATTGTGATTTTAACATTTGTAAAACGGGCATAATTCTAAAGTAGAGATCCTTGGCAAAATTGAAATTACTTATTGCAAATTAAGTAGCAAATGGAAATAACCTTTATTTTTTCTAAGTATTTTTCTCAGATTGCTTGAAAAAGTGAAAATCAGAGTAACAAAGGTAAAGCACAATTCAAAGCGTAGCTATTTTTGTAATGGCTTTCATATCATACATTAAAATAACTGGAATTTCCATTTATGATATTTTGTATATCCTTACATTTTAAAAATCCTATCTTGAGCAATGGGTAAAACCTGAAAATGTCCGTATGCAATTCATGACTTTGGATTGCAGTTTAAGCTCAAGTGCGTGTGGAAGTGAAAAAGGAATTTAGTTAAAAGATGCCAAGGAGAGAGATGTTAAATTAATAATGGTTTTGCTGAAGTTGCTCTGGACTGAAATTTGCTTATGGATGTCCACGACCATATCAAATATTAAAGAGATTCCTTGGAACTGGCAGGAGGTTATGGCACAGAAAGCAAAGGAGAGTAGTGTGTTTCATGGAACATGGAAAATGCATAAACAAAGAGCATTCTGTTACATGCAATGGCTGAGAACATTTTAAATGTTATGTCTCTTATTTTGCCAAATAACTATGCTGACGCATTTCCCATTTTGTTAAAAGAATAGTACACTGTTTCCAGTGTATCCTTTTATAACAGTAGCTTTGTACTAGACAATGTGAGAAAGAGTAAATGGAAACATTTGGAAGAAAAATCAACATTCTATTATTAATACAATAGGCATGAAAGGAGCACACTTCTATTTTAGCCCAAGATATTTATTTTCTGTAAAATAATAAATTGCATACTTTCTGGTGTTTTACAAATAGTATTATTTAGAAAATCTCAAATTTCAAAACACTTCTGAAAAACACTAATGTATGTAAAACAGAAGGATTGAGGATAAAGAAAACTTTCAGGAAAAAAAAGTCAGCTATTGAATGGAACACTTTTCTTAACATTTTCAAGACCTGTAAATTTATTCTTAAATAAGTTTTAAATATTGACTTTTAAAAACTGTAAGATTAATAAATTAAGTAGAGTATTATGTAGGAAAATAAGTTCCTTTGTCTTTAGATCAGAGTTCATTTAAATTTCATAACCTTTCCGGGCAGAAAAAAAAAACATGATCTGCAAAACACTTAATGGCCACACAGCAGTAACATTCTGCAGTAAATTAATTTAATAAGCATAGCTTTTACAGTATTTAATTATATAACCCTTTAAACCATTTTAATATATAGAATGTAAGAATGTAATATAGTGTTTATTAACTGTATATATTCTGTAATAGACAGCCAAAAGAACAAAAAGTAAATAAACCAACATTATTAATTATTTTAAAGGTAAAGTTCATTAATAGCTTGTATCTGAAAAACTCTGAAAAAACTCTCCTCACTGGTGCTGAAAGAACACCCTGATGGCAAAAGAAATTGACAGACTGGTTTTGAAACTAGTGCATATCTTGTTCTTGATACGATCTTTAGGTCTTTGTGTAATTTTAGAAAGTGTATTAAGTCAACTGACTGGGTCAGGGTCATATTTTTGGAGGGGAAATTCCACCTCACTATAGTTATTCAAAGTGGATAACATTAGCATACCTAGAATTATATACTCCCAAGAGTTAGTCATTATATACTGACTTATTGTTTGTCATTACTGATCCCCAACTGTCTACCATATGGTTGGACAAAAAAGAATTCTGTAAAACTAAAAAATAGCCATAAACAGGAAGCACACAATTTTAGTTTTATAAATTGCATTATACTGCAACAACAGTGCTGAAATAAAGAATTACAAACTTTTAAGAGGAACATTGGTTTACAACTCATTTTTATCCCTACAAAATTATTCAAGATGTAAAATATGAAGGAGGTAGAGAAGTATATCTTTTTGGCAGGGGGGATTCGTGCACAATACTTCACTTGATATTTTGCAATGCAAATTTCTTCACTACCCCTTTTACTCAATCATTTCAGTAGCTTTTGTTGGTATAGTTAAAACGGAATATGGCCAAATTAAAAATTACAAAGGAAAACAAAGAAAGTATACAATTAAAAAAGGAAAAACTATTGAAATTACTAAGAAAAAGCTACATGCTGGTAAATCTAAAATAATAAAGTATGTTAGGTCAACTATAAAAGATATTCAAACATAACATGCAAGTTTATAGATGTTTTCCTAAGTAATACACAGCAAATAACTTGGAACCAAGATGCTAGTAAAAAAATAAAAATGCTTTCCCATCCATCAGTATTAATCTCACATATTACAAAAGATGTGTTCATTTATCTTGTCGACACAAATTAGAAATTCAAGAGTTTTAACAAATGAGCCTGCAAATGTAAACTTATTAGCCCATATATTTTTACTACACACTGAGCTGGGGCCTCTCCAAACCTGTCCCTTCAGTGTATTTTCTTATTTTGTGTTATTGATGGAAGCTAACTAATCACATTTTTAATGTTGTCTTTAGGGAACACTTCTTGAGTGAGCATAAGAAAGAAAGTACAACAAAATAAATCCACCCCATTAAATGTCTGAGATTACACCTCTTTTACTATAAAGAAAGAATGTGAGATTGATTTGTCACACTCTCATCGAAGGCAAGAAAACCAGTAAACAATGTATTAATTAAAATAATGCCAAAATCAGAAAAGTGTTAGAATAGGGTTTTCAGGAAAGAAAAAAAAACAGAACTATAAAACTCAATTTCTTCATAAAAGACATGTATACACACAAAACTTTCACATACCTTTATATGGTATACAAACTAATATTTGTTTTCACCATTTCACAGTTATCATAATTCATAGTGATTGCTTGTTTTTAAAACATACCAATACTCTGACAGGTATTCTTTGTAAGACATACATACATAGTATACAACAATCAATTTAAAAAGTAACAAGAATCAATCAAAATATAAAATGAACAAGGATGATGCTTAACCAGACATCTCTCAAGGTTATTGACAAGTTAAGGTTTTTGACATCAATCTTAAATAAAGTTACAGCTTGATTCCAATAAGAAACCGTCATTGCATCTCAAAGAAAAGTTTTTGTCATATGTTTGCTGCCTGTACTATCTTTTGCTTATGAAATACACATTCTTTGTAATAGACATACAAAAAAATGTGAGTTATCACAATCCAGAGTTGATAATATCATAGAGAAAATATATTAAAGTGACAATGAGAGGAAAACATTGGTGAAATGGGTCATTAGCCTATAAAAAAGGTGCTTATACCAAGAGGTAAGAAGCCAAGAAGATAACACACACCTGCAAGAAATTTGTGATGAAACCAAGATCCGTTCTGAAACAATTAGAATGAGCTAGAGTGAGACATGATGACAGCTAACTAGTTTAGTTCTAAGGATGATCTATATTGTAACAGTACCCCAGTGCATTCAATCTGTTTCTAGAAATGGTTGGTCTTGCTTAGTTTTAGGAATAAGCAACAACAGTAATTGACACCTAGAGCACACAATGGTGTATTACATTTTCAGAAGTCTGATAAAGTTCCTTAAAATAATTAATAAACTGTAAGCACCAGGCATTTAACATTATTGCACGTGCTCCGAAATGAGAAATGGTTGATAGACAACTCCAGATAAGGGCTGAATCCTCCAGCTGGTGGTGTAATTAATTGAGCAAATCAGTGATCAGTATTAGGTCAATCTACAAATAAATAAAAAATGGAAATACCTATTTCAAATCAATTAACGGGGAGTTCGGCTACCATGTGTGGGCAGTAAGGCCTGTATGGGCCATTGCATAAAGTATAAGCCTTCAGAGTCTTCAATAACAAAGTCAATTTTTTTTCATTGACTTGGATTCGCAAATAACTAAATGCTGGCTTAAGGTATGAAAAATACTTCTACTTCTGCTTTTATAGGCCTTGTACCTTGTAAAAGTCATTTCTGTTAACGTGTTAGCAGAATGGCGATAATATTAAGGAACATTTTTTCTATAATGCAGGCGCTTGTTGGTTGTAATGTTACCCGGGTATAACGGAACTAGTCACACGTGTAAAGAAAAAATGGTTTCACGGCAGTATCAGTGCTGCACCACACGTTTGGGATGCTGATGTATTCTCTCATGCATTGGCATCGGTCTTTGTCCAACCTGCACAGCTGTGTAAGCGTGCACAGCTACTATGTTTTCATTTTTTGGAAACAGTGATTTGAATATTGCTGTTACAAAGCGGCAAGAATATGAAGTGTTCTGCTGGTGCATGTGGTGGAGGAAAGCTGTTACTCTGGTACAAAACCTTGATGCTATAAAGCAATATGAGAGAAAAAAATATTTACACATCTGGGCTTAGTGTGCTAAAAACAGTTTGAGAAATCAGTTCTCCACTGCAGAATTTTTCATTGTACAGTAATGTAAATACTGATGCATACTGTCATATCTATTTTTTAAGTTTTCTATTTTATATTATCACAAAAACATTAAACACAAGTAAAACATTCAAACTTATAACAGAATACTAAAGAAAAAAATACCTTTGTTATTGTGGATCCAAGCTCTCTACTCTTTAATTCCCACTGAACCAATGGTTTCTATAAAATGATTTTCCAGACTGTCATGTTATAGCCTAAATACATGTACTTAAAATGATAATTCTGTTACTCATTATTAAGTAAAACTGTCCTTCTCCAAGTATTTAGATTCTCACTTCAAAGACAGAACGTTGGAAATGACAACTTTCATTTGCACTGCTCTGACATTCTCTAAAATAGTGCTTTTTCAAAATGAAGGACAGTGAATGAAACACTTTAGTCCAATTTTTATTTTCTAAACATGCACATGGCTGATAAACACTAATTGTACAAGAGTCCAGAAGGCACTCAGTTACATTATTCTGATTTAATACCTTTGGTAAACATTCAGTAAAATTCATAAACAATTCAGAAGTGATTCAGAGCTCTTCAGCTAGGGAAAAAAATACAACTAATACATATTACATTAAAAGGATTTCATCAATGGGTTTCTTGAAAGATAATTTGTTTAAACTTTTGTTTGGGCTTATGATTTTACCTGCAAACTGCATTGTCCCTTTCATTTTCTTAATTGTGTATTTGCTTGCAGTGTAAGCCTAATTTAACCAAGTAGATGAACCAACATTAAAAGCTGGTGGGCTGGGTAAGTAATCCCAAGGGAGGACCAATGGTACTTTGTGTTTAAAAGCCACATGCAGAGAAGTATCAGTTAAGGCAAATTTGGGAGGGAACCTTAACGATAAACAATAAAAAGCAAGCAAATCAAATTTTTCACAATTAGTTGAACAACAACTGTGACAGGCTTGGTGCTGAGCATTTTCATTTCTGAGCTCTGATTTGGTTATCTGTCCTGTTTTATGCAAATGTGATGTGATGGGAGATGCTGGGAGCACTCATGCAGGCCGATCAGTCACAACAGGAGCTGTAGTCGGCACAGCTGAGGAGCCCAGATTAAATGGAGTGAACACTGATGGATAAATATGAACACTGCTGTAAAGCTCATAAACAGATCTGAGATCTCAACCTTACCTTCCCCCTACAACTACCTGTCAAAAGTAAACATAACAGCCACAACCCACAGTTGTGAGCTGTAGTTTTATAAGCCAATGAGCTGATTTTGACTTTTCTCTTAAAAATTGTGAAATTGGGCCCAGGAAGATTAATGTTTAAATTTCTAATGTTCACTAAAGCACTTACTGTAACAGGAAAATTACCTAAGCTAGTTGTCAAAAATGATTGTGATGTCTTTTTAAGGGCAAAGCCACAATTTTGAAAAGGGAAATTAATGTAAAAAAAAATTGCATTAATGGAGTCTCAGTATGAAGATATGATTGTCAAAGACTGATACTATTACATCTGAATAATGTGGTATTAAAACAAAATAAAACAAGTTACCCAAATTTAACTAAAACAAGTAGTTTAAAAGCACAGCACTAGTCAAAGCAATAGTCATGAATATTTCTAAAACAGCCTTCATTAGAGCTCAGAATATAAACTGTAAAATATATAACATTACCAAGCAGTACAGTTCTATATAAAAAGGTGAGACTACTTGACCATTTCACTAATGGTACTAGGAGCATGAATATTCCTGCAACCTGAGTAACCGTTTGTCTTTAAAAAAATAAAGTCTTCAAAAAGCTGTCTCATCTAAGTTTATAAAATATTTATAATTCATGCATTTTTTCCTTCATCAAGAGTTGTCTTTGTATGGCCGGGCATATTTGGATCCAAGTACTGATGTCCTGGAATGATAAAAAATAATTAATGCAGTTACTTAGAAATGTTTTTATATCCTTTTGAAACTTTGCTCATAAACGTCAGTATTACACATCTCAAAACCTTCATTCTCATAATTGTGCACCATTATATCGGATGTAACTGATTATGTTTTAAAACGTTACCATACTTAAGATCTTATACTTTTCATGAAAATTTTATTTTTTAATCAAAGCCGAAGTTAGTCTTGAGTTATCTGGCTATCATGCTATAATTAGTGCATCGTTTTTTCTTGACTAAATGACCACGAGTACTCCTAAACAGTAGTTTGTTTATGCATGTTGTACGGAAGCTATATAAATTATACCAAATAATTGGGAAATTATTGGGAAACAGTACCATGTAGCCAATGCAGGCCAGAAAGGCACACAGATTGATCGTATAACAGATGCACAGCACAGACAGGACAATAAACAGACTGTTTACTGTGAATCCTTCAGTGAAGCTGCTGGAAACTCTATACTTCAACCCGTATCAATTGAAAAAAAGGAACACAATTCAATCAACTAGTATGCATATAGGTAGTATGGTGGCACAGTGGTTAGGATTGCTCTCCTCGCAGTGCTAATGTGAAGTTCCAGACTTGGGGTGCTAAATGCATGGAGTTTGTATACTCTCCCTGTGCTCATGCAGCTTTCCTCTGGGTGTTCCCGTTTCCTTACGATGTCCAAAAACCTAGCGGTAGGATAACTGGCTTCTGGAAAAATTGACCTTTGTGTGAGTGTGTGCATGTTTATGTGTCTATGTGCCTTGGGATGGACTGGCATCACATCCAGGGTGTATCCTGCTTTGCACCCATTGCTTGTTGGGAAATGGTCTGGCTCCCCTCCAACTCTGAATTGGAATAAGTGGTTAGAATAGGGATGAATGAATAGATCACATTTTTCTCTGGGCAGTCAAAGAGGCGATCAGCTTGGAGTCTGATGACCATCCATTAAGATAATATAGTTATCACAATGAAAGTAATATTTATTTGTATGCACAGGTTTTCACACAGTAACATTAATCCATTAATGAAAGGGTAATGCAGCTACCAAAAACTAAAGTTAACAGCAAAATAACATGCTGAACACTTGCACTGAACTGCCCCACACCTTTGTGAAGTGCTTTTTGTTATAGTTTTTAATAGCTATTGCCCTCATTTTCCAATTTTCATCTCCTTAAAACAACTGTTGACATTGTATTCTACAGGTTTCTGATAATCCTTTTAATTTATTGTTGAATTGGCTACAATAATGAATAAAATAGTTGCATGTTTAAGTCAACATTAACATCATCACTTACATGATTACATATGTAAGTTAATTAAGTGATAATGAGATAATCAGGGCATAGTAATAGGATTGTTTACTAAGTGGTTTTAGAAGAAACTATACTGACCTCTCAGGTCTGAAAGACAAATACAAATTAAAAGATTACTCAACAAAAACACCAGGCTCCTTTTAATACAATTTCAAAACAAGTAATTTTCATTTTAACCTGTTCTTTATTGCCGATTTATTTTGCATATGAAAACGATTAGTTGGCAAGCTATCCAATTCAGGGCACGGGGGAGCCAGGATCTATGCCCGGAAAAAGCAATGGACTCAAGGCAGAATACATCCTGAATGGGATGCCAGTTAATCGAAAAGGCACACCCCAGACACAGATATGCAGAATCCAATTAATGTCTTTGGACTGTGTGAGGCAACAGGAGAACCCAGAGGAAACCCACACAAAGGGAGGACATGCGGACAGCATGAGTTGATACCAGGGCCTCAGCACTCAGCAATGCTAATCACTGTGCCACCATTCGACCCTAGTAGGCAACCTAATTTGGTGCAAATATTAAAAAGAAAAGGAAGGATTCTGTTGAGTTGAAGTCAAAGCCTGAAGTTAGACATCACCAGACAGACCCCACATAAAGCATTTTAATCATGGTATTTTAACTTGAAAAAATAAATTGTATATTCATTATTAATCATTAATTAATTAATCAATAAGATGATGAATCCAACACTTTCATAAAACCTTTAAGTTATATTCAAATTGGATACCATTGCAATAAGGTCTAAATTCAACTGTAAATGAATGCTGGTATTTATTTTATTTCATGACTAATAAATGCTATAGGCTGTAACATAACTTTCATTTTCTTTGTAAAACGGAAACTAATCAAACTGGGAATATCACCTGATGTTCATCATAGAAATCTCTCACCTCTAAAAATCTTGCATCAAGGTATATTGTTCTGCGTCCAACATTTCCAAAGAACTAGACTGCTGACCTATAAACCAAAACATTAATAAGATTTAATTTTACTACAGATAAAAGAAGGAAATATGAACTTCAATCAACAATAAGTGTACCTTTTATACTCCAGAAGTTAATGCTGGTAAACTGCTACCTCTATTTAAAACTGGTACTAAAAAGTGTAACAGATCCAAAAGAATGTTCCAAAGGAGTTTAGCACTAGTTTTAAATATTTATTCACATTCACTATTAACCTTCCAATTGATTTCATTATGGAAACTATTTGAGTTACTTTCCAAGAAATACTTTAGACATAACCATAAAATGCCTATTACTATAAAAAGTTAATTCAATTTGAATAAACATTATGAAAAACAAGAAACAAGTCTATGTGAATGCTGTTTTTTGTTCTAATAAAGCTGATCTAGATATGGACAATGTTTAACATTTCCTTATATGATGCATGTTTTATTCTTGAAGATATGCTTTACAATCCTTACCTTAATAAATACGATGTCAAATTCAAACGCGTTGGAGAATGGAGTTTTGCTCTTTTTAGGAGAATGGGGGGTGGGGGTTTTGAAATGGTCTTTTATTCTTTTTTCTTTTTTTGTTATTGCTTTTTTCATTTTTTTGCATTGTATTACAGACCATTTCTTTATTTTTACATAATAAAGCCAAAAAAGGATTTAAGCAAAGCAGTCATAATATTCATTAAAACCTTACATAAAATATGTACACAAAACCAACAACCAAAAGGCTAATATACATAGTATACATAGTTACATCTCATTATTTACAACTGTTTCAAACAAAACTAATAAACATGTACCTCTTAGCAGTACTTTCTTTGCAAAATTGTATTAAATGTTAATTTCTAATCAAACTTTACTAGCTTTTAAAAACTATTTCAAAGAAAACAAGAATGCCATCTGATGTAGATGAGTGTCTATGACTAATTCATCTTCGCCAAGACCGTGGTTCATTGTCATCATCCTCTTCATCATCATCTTGCAGCAATGTATCATCTACTAAGGATTCCTCCTGAAACTGAAAAACATAAGGCATACTGCTAAACATAAAAAAGCAAGCATATTTTGTGAAGTTTAATTTTTCAGTCTCATACTAAAAGTGCTCAAAAACAATGCAAAGGATTTGTGAATAACAATTGTGGATGTATGAGGAACCAGAATGCTGTGCTGCAACATGTTTAACATTAATCAATGTGAAGTGCATTCAACATATTCAAGTCACCACTGTCAATGACATAGTAACAAGGTAATTTAAAAACTTTTAAAAAGGTCATTTCAAATACAAGAATCATATGCTATCTGCTCTATTTCTGAAACAGTTCCATTCTGTTTTTGGGTCCCTAGGGTTTCAAAATTTGTATAATTTTCTATTAGTCTATTCTATATATATATACAGCAGCCCAAGGATAATCAGTGACAAAAACACATTTTATTTTCATAGAACCATGTTTTAAACATTTCTGGTTAAAAAAAGAAACTGATGTTTTGTCAAAACTAGTAACTCATCTGGTATTTTTTAAACTAGCAACATTATAGAAGCATATTTTAATATCCTTTGAAAATTTCACCACAATTTTCCCATTCCGATGTGAATCCCATTCAATTCTTCGTCTACAATGGAAGCATGTAAAGCACAGCAAAGTGTGAAGCTCAAGTCCAGATGCCTTTTTTAACCCAGTTATTCTATTTTATTCCATTTTGTATCAAGTCTATTTTTAAGATTGTCAAAGTGTTAATTTATTTCATAGGAGTTCTCTATCTAGGAGTTAAGATAAAATGGTTTGCATTTTTAAAATTGTAAACATGTTAAATTTATGACAAAATAATGACAAGAAGGTGGACAATTTCAAAATTGAGAGGTACTTGAGCTCTGGTAAAAACTGGCACATTAAGCACAAGGTTTACTTTTCGATAATTTTTGATAAGAACAAAAAATGTAAAGGGAGGTTGTGGGCATTCCTTTTCTGTTGAGTAATGACAATAGCATTTGCAAACCAGCAACAAAAGCATAAAACATATTTTAATCACTCAAAAGTACAATAGATCGACATTTGAATAAGAGTTGTAAAAACTTAACAACTTTAACACTAATTTTGAGCTAATCCTTTTTTCCTTTACATGAAATATATTGTGAATATCATAAAAAAATCAATATATACTCACTTCCTCTTCATCAGGTTCCACTTCCTCAGGTTCAGCAGTTGTAAGAACAGCAGCAGGTTTGTGCCATGCTAGTTTAAGATCCTGATTATTAAACTTAGCTCCATGAATGGCAGCCTGTAATAGAGAGTAGAACTTCAAGATTCCCTTAAGAATACCCTTAAACTGCACAGAGATTAAGAGGGTTTACTATGGAGCTTAACTTCTTTGTTCCTTTGACATGCAAACACCACTTCCCACTTTATCTCTTTTATGATACTACACCTTTGGTCACCCACAATGTTATTAGTGTCTTTGATAAAGATGAGCAAAACAGGTTGTCTGAAATAAACACAGGTATTGATTCAATTAAATCAATTACACATTCCTCAAAATTACAGATTAATTTAAAAACATTATCACAATTACTGGTACCCTTGTTTTCAGTATTTTGTGCACCCTTCTCTTGCAAGGATAACAACAGCTGTTTTCTATACTGTTTTTAGATATTGGAGAACACATTAGGAATGATCTTATACCATTCCTCCCTGCAGAACCTTTACAGATATCCTTTTGTTTGCGCTTAAGGACTACCCTCTTTAATTCAAACCACAGGTATTCAACAGGGCACAAGTTTGGAGAGATGGCCATTGCAACATTTTGATTTGGTACTCAATTAACCATTTCTTTGTTGATTCTGATGTGTAATTGGGGTCAAAGCCTTGCTGGAAGTTTAAGCCTACTGGCAGGGACAAACACCTTTTTGGCTGAAATGTCTTGGTACTTGGTCGAGTTCACTATGCTGATGACCTTAACAAGGGCCCCAGGACCAGAGGAAGCTAAACAGCCCCATATCAAAATCCATCACCATATTTTAAAGAAGGTATGATGTTCTTTTCTGCTTAGGCATACTACCTTTGATGCTAAACTCCTGTTAGCGTGTGGAGCCAAAGAGTTATTTTTGTCTCATTTGATCAAAACAACTGGTTCCAAACCAAGTCTCAATGCCGTTAAGCAAAGTCCAAGCTCTTATGTTTGCTAGTAAAGACTGTTTTGGCCTGTGCACTTTGCACTACTGGACTCACAAACACCAATTGCCAAATGTGTTGAGGAGTTTGTGCACTACATCCCAAATGTTGAATACCACTCTTTGTGAGTTCTTTGCACACCATTTGTTTTTAAACTGGCTGCTCACAACCCAAATTTGCAGTCAACTGATCTACACTTATTTTGTATGCCTTCTACTTCCAAATAACAGATATAACAATATCTTTGACTTTGCCTGGTGTTGTCCTTTACTCCTGATGTCTTTCCCTCAAAGTTCCATGCTGACATTACCTTAAAGACTATTGCCTGTGAAACACTGGCAAATTTAGTAATCTTGACCACTGAACCTCTCTTTATACAGACTCTAATCATCCCTCTTTTAAAGTAATAGATATATAAATATACCTGTAAAGCGCTTTGAGTGGAGTGTCCAGAAAAAGCGCTATATAAGTGTAAGCAATTATTATTATTATTATTATTATTATTATTATTATTATATACAACTAGACCTGTCCAGCATTATTTGCTTAATGCATGAGCCATAAATGGGAGTAATTTGGTGATTTCAATATACTTGGTGCCACTCATTTATCCCACTGCTTTCAATTTGTCCACTGGTACATTCTAAAGTAACCACAATAATAAAGTTATATTTCAAATTGTACTTACAATTTCTGCTTCTGCTCTTGTCTTGTAGGTAATGACAGCATTAACAGATGAGTCATCAATCTGACAGTCTTCAATCTCACCAAATTGCTTTGAAAAAAGTAAAATAAAGTTTAACTTAAAACACTATAAAATGTTAGTTTTATTAAGAGGACTTAACATAAAACATTCATTACTAATGCAAATGAGGTGAAAGTAACAAATGTAAACCTTACCTTTTTAAAGAGTTACAAATTCCTGTAAAATACATTTCTACTTGCTATAATATATAAATTCAGCCCTACCTTTAACTTCCCTATTCTACCAGGAATATCCTCATCAAGGCTGGCATCCTGCACCAGAATGCAACAGCTAATTTCGAGTTATGACAGAAGAAGCTGCAAAAATTATTAAAAATGCTACATATATTTACTTGAAAGCACATTTTACTGTGCTTTTAAAAAATAAAGGAACAAAACAGAAATTATGCATACTGTGGTGCGTCAACAGTCACCTATTTAAGAAACATGCCTTAAATTCTAGCGTTATAAGAAAATAGTTAATAGCATATAAACACTAGTTAGCTGACCAGACCAACTATCAGAAAATGCTCATGTTTGACAAGTTGTGACATGAGAATGAGAAGTTTATTCTGAACTACCCTTTTTTGGCTTTAAAAGTTAAAATACATTTTGAAATCAAAGCCTACTATGTGTAGTTAGCTCCTATAATAGCTATTATGGAAAACAAAAACATTATTAAAGGCTGTATCAGACTTTTAATTCTGCTTCATTTACAAATTAAAGTTAACACCCAGGGAATAGTGTCTCCCTTATTTGGGCTCATTAAAATGACAACTTTGATCAGTAAAATACATATATATATTGGTGTGATGAAGAGTACTTTTCAGGATTTTGTGTTTTAAGAACAAGCATTCACTACAAATATGGTATATGAACATTAAATCTGGGTACAGAATTTAATACTCTTGTTTCATGCCATACAAAGTAAATATTTTCTGGTCCATCTTGACAAAATGTCACAGAAAAAAACATCTCAATACGTTCAGTGATCCTTTTAACATGATTTTCTTAAGATTCAGCTGACAAACTATCCCTGTCTCTAATTATGTCTACAGCTATTAACAAATACCTGATCTATAAAGTCTGATCTATATTTGTAGTGTTAAACCAACAGATTTAGAAGGCCAATTCCAGTACTTCAGACTTCACAATGAATTAAACATTTTTGTTCCCCAAAAATGTTTTGCAAGTATATTCTACTTTTTACATTAAGGCTATAAACTATTGATATAGCATTTTATCTTTTTTATTTTATGTTGCTTAAAGAAAAACAAGGCAACATAAATCTGCAGTATTCTTAGTAAAGAAATAGTTTTACACAGGCAGCAAAAACATTGAAATTTCAAGATTTGTAACTGTTCAAAATCACAGATATACAATAAGAACATATCCACCACAGAAAACAAAGCAATCTGGTTATCTTGCCTTTATGAAAGCAAATACTCTTACAATAGCATTTTTAATCATTAAAAATAAAATGGACCACACTGCTTCTTCAACCTTAAAAGAACCTACAACATTGTAGCACAAAAAGCTACAGAATTACTTTTAAATACAACACACTGTGAAATGTCTGTAATAGTTTTAAGCTTTCAAGCTTCAAATTACTTACTGCAAAATGTGGGAGTAAGTCTACCCTGTCAGATTCTGTAAAACCAGAAATCTCTAAAGCTCTTGGTCGGTGGTCCACTACAGCATGAATCGGTGCCCCTCTGCCCCTGCCACGAATTCCTCTGCCACGGCTCCTTAGGGCACCACGTCCTCTGGAATGGACCCCCCTTCCACGCCCCGAGGACAAAATTCCCCTTTTGGCAGCCTGATGTATAAAAAATGTCCAAGACAAATGGAACAAAAACAGACTTGAACTTAAAACTGTGCAGAGATCTTACCAGGACACACTGCAACTAAGCACAGCTAAGACCATGGCAAAGGTATTTTACATAGTTAAGTCGGTAACTTAGATTAAAATGTCAAGTTTGGCTTCAGTTAAAAAGGTTACATGCATTTCGATGTACTTAATGGTCATCAATACTTCATGATTTATAAAGTTCATTTTATGGACAAAATATTAATGAATATTCATTCAAAACACATTTTCAAAAGTATAAGATGCTAATAAGATAAGCATTAAAGGGAGCTTAGAGTTAATAAATATGCACAACTTTTAATTCCATCGAAATTTACAGGTTATATGTATAATAAATAGGATACTTATGGATGAATTTATCTAAAAGTGCTGACTTACATTTCATGAAGTACTGAGCATTCACATCAACAGTGAGCTAATGTATAAACGTTTCTTACAAAGCAAATATGCCATAATAAATGGTTTTGTTAATTTTACATACAATATTAAAATACAAATCCTGTATCCTTAAGTTAACAGTGCCACCTTGTGGTTTCACCGAGGATTATAAATATAATGCCTTCAGGCCTTTCATACCTAAAAGGTTAAACTGCAATATTTCATTCCAATTAACAAAAAACAAAATTAAAAAAATCACCTCTAGCTGAAGTTGTGTGTATTTCTTTCTTAGTGGTGCAATATCTTCTCCAGCCTGCATTTTCTTATATAAATCCAGTTCAGTATCCAGGAGCTCCTTCTGTGTCTGAAGAGATAGTTTTAAATATACATAACGCAAAGATTTGACATGTCTTTATATATACAATGTTTTACAACACTCCAAGATATTATAAAAATTGAGTGGCAGTGGGTCACAATGTTATATTTATAACTGCATTATAAAAATTAAAAATCAGACTTATGGGTCAGTACGTCTGTAAAAGCAAGATGGATATTTACAGCCAAAATCTTACGTTAAACATCTTGGAGGCCTTCATTAGCACGCTGATGCACATTTATGTTAAAAATGTCAACCTACCTGAGCCTTGGTTTTTAAAGTTTTCTGAGGAACGCCACTTGAAATTGCTTTTATTTCATCATTTAGTTTAGTTATATTTTTAGTCATTGTTGCCAATGTCTCCATAATTTGAGCCTTGTCTTCAGGTTTCATGGATTTGTTCTTCTCTATTTTTGATATTAACATCTACAAATAAATGAAGCATTAAACTCATGAAGTACATTAAAAACACCAAAAATTACTTTCAGAATTACATCTGTCTCTATCACAAAACTTTACACTTCAGTTTTGCTTGGTAGGGTAGATTTGGGAGAACAAAGTAAATTGTTTATTCCCGATCTGGAATCTGTCCAGAGAAAAATGCTGTACTATTTAGAAGAGAATGAATTATGTGGGATACTTCCTATGACATCCTTAGCTTTACATTAATTTGTCATCTGTCACCACATCCAACTAGATGAGTGGTGCATCTCACTCTAACATCTCTGAAAGCATGCAAATAGCAAGTCATGGTCACAATAACGAAAATCACAAATGTAAGAACAGTATTCAATGCTTCTTAATTCTACAATTGTTTTTAAAGTCTAAAGAGCATTTTAGTTTACTTTTGGTCAAGATCAAAAAAGTCTATTGAAGCACTTAAAACAATGAAAAACTTTCTATAAATACTACAGAAAAACACATCGTTTTTACCTTTTGTGTTTCAATGTTTTTTTCCAGTATTTCCTGCTTCTTCTTTCTAACATCTTGCTGGAGCCTTAAAGCTTCCTGTAAGATTAATTATTAAAAGTGTTTTATTAGAAAGATCTTTTGTATGACAAGACAATGTGAAATGCTGACTTGTGAATTACGTAAGCCCTGAAGCAAACCGTCAGGAAATCTTTTCTCAATACTAAACATTCTTTTCACTTAAATATCAACCTTTTTTTATCTGATCTCAATGTTACAGAATAGAATTGCCTTTAAGGGATTTTTTCAGAAGTCAAAGCATCCCAATCAACACATAACTATAACTGTGTATTTTAAAAAAGCTTTTCATATTAAAGTCAGCTGGTAGTATGTACATGTATTCATGACAAACATGTTATATAACTCATGGTAAAATCTGAATTTATTTTTGCCTGGCTATGTACAGTGCCTTTATTATTAAAAACTGCGCATTTTTGTATTTTTAATACATTTGTAAAAATTCCTAAAAACGTGTTTTCACTTTGTCATTATGGAGTATTGTGTCGATTAATGGCATAAAAGAATCAATTCAAATCAGTTTTTAAATAAAGTCTACAACACAAAGTGTGGAAAAAGTGGAGGGGTCTGAATACCTTCTGAAGGCACTGTCCATTTAAATATTTTCATGTTTCAAGAAAACAAAAATAAACTCTAGAAAACAAACTGTGATCATATCAACTGAATTTGCACACTACCTTAAAATTAAAAACTAAATTAAAACATTGAAAAGGAAAGAAAACCTACATTTGAAAGACTTATAAGTAGAACTGTAGCAATATTATGAATATGCATTAGAAGCAAAGAGGTAATGCACAAGAAAGTCTTTTATATGAAAACCACAACACCCCAAAACAAATGAAAAACCTTACAAATCAGTGGTAATAAAGTTTCTATATTAAAAATCCTAATGGCAAAGAATAATGCAGACTTGAGAATTTCGAGTAACAAACACTGACAACTGATTATCATCAATCTAGTACTGGACACAGACTTCTGAAAAAATCTGAAACACCTTTAATCTGAAAAAAACCCTTACCAAATTGACTAAAACTGCATTACTGTACTGGCATACACATTTATTACTTGATTATACAAAATAAATTATAATAGCTTGGATATGCATTTTAAATATGTTGACCTGAACAAAATCTACCACTGAAAGGCTATTGTTTTGTGGTACTATTTCAACAACCGAAAGAGGTCACCAAACATTCAATGGAATTCGAATTATTCTGTAACACACCAAGTTAACAATGAGTTTTGCCATTAAAAACTCAGGAATACATTTACACTGTGCTTGCTTCAGGATGATAAATAAACTACCAATGAGATTTTCCAAACTCAAAACACACTATGGAGAAAAAAAATATCAGAACTAAATCAAGCTTTTCTGGAATTGTAACACTATTGGAATTGTTCATTACCATCTTTGACGACCCTCAGTCTCCACAAATTGCTGACAACTACGAGTGTCAATCTGTATAAGCAATCAGCATTTGCACACAGTAACGTCAAAATCCTTTCCTTGTTGATTTTACATCCTCAGATAATGTCAAGTGTTTGTGTCTCATCGACATTATACAATTGACATAATATGATGCATTCATCTTAGATTAATTTCGTGAAAGTCCTATGGAATGGTTTTTAATCTCTTCAGTAGATCATCCAAACTTCCACCACAAGTTATTTAATTCACTTAATAATTATTATGAAATTATGAAATTGCCAAAGCCATCTGTCACTGCATTTTCAATTAAATTTATTTGGCCATCGAACTGGATGAAGATCACAATTCAGATGTCCTTTTTGCAGACAACCCCACCCCCACCCCCTCCCACTTCTCAGAGTCTGTCAATCAATGCCTTAGTCCGTTAAAGTGAGAATTTACTGCATTATTATATGCTCATTGCATACAATTGTGCAAATGATCCACAGTGATCAACATATCAATTTCTTCTACAAAGTAGCAAAATTTGAGAACAAAGTTGCAGTGAGATCATTTGTGTATTTAAAAAAAAATTATGAGTGTAAATTATGAGTTAACCACATGATTTTTCAACAGTTGCATGTTTGTTATGGACTATATACTGAACCATTTTATAATAAAAAAATTACTGCTGAACAGTTGGAAAGGGGTTTACAACAATTTTTTTTAGATGAAGAAATGTGCCAGGTTAAATAAGTACAGAGGTCCCCAAGATGATCTGAAAAAGTTTAAATTATGTAGGACTAGGCTACCGTACCCATTGATGAATAAACACTATTGCATTACAACTGCCTTCACTGTGCTACTATACCTGCAAAGGCTGTGGGAAATTTGGGAAGGAAAATTACATTCTTAATAGGCTTTAATACATACAATTCTAAAAAATATTTATTTCTGTACAAACTGAGCAAAATATACTCTTCCTTTAGTTAACCAAATTATTATTATTATATCTGCTACTGTATGATGGAAAAAGTAAATTAGGTTGAAGAAAATGAAATCTTTAGTAATCTCTTAAATGCTGCAGAGAACCAAATCTTACCTGTTTTTTCTTTACAGCTTCCTCTGTACTGATGGTGTTCACAAATGGCAACGTTTTCTGAGCAGCTTTTAGGGCAGCAGGGTTGTAAACAGTTTTTGTAAGCCCAGTAGAAGTTGATAACACCTGCAAAATTTCAATGTTTACAGATCGTCCTAATACAGATATATTACTATATAAAACAGAATCCAGAGATTTTTTTTCTGAAAGCTTTGGCCTTTAGGTACTACAATTCAGTTTATCAGGACATTTGTTTCAAACATTCAGAGACATGTAAATAAAGCACTATATTTTACAAAACAATAGACAACTAAGAAATACCCTGTGCAGTAACAATGTACAATGGAAATGCAACAGGTTAAGATTTACATCAGTAGCTCTAATGCACTGCATGACACACAAGGTGCAGATGCTACATAATGTCTGACAGTAAAATAATTGAAATGTGCTACTTACCTTTCCTGTTGTAACGGATGTTGGCTTTGAAGAAAACCCCAATCTTTCTTTCACTGACAGTTTTGTGACATTCTATAAAATATTTACACATTCAAATATTTGATTAAACGTAATATGGGAAGAAAATTGTAATTTGCAACATTGACAAAGGTAGATGCTAAAGCAGTTCTATACTTTTCTTACTCCAGGCATTACAAATATAGAACAGGGCAAGACAAAAGTTTTCTGTGGCCACTCTGAACAGCAATCTAGTTTCTAGCTCCTTGATGTGTCTTACCTAAACTCACTAACCTTACTTAATCCATATACATGTTATAAATAAGAATTCTGCTAATCTCATTATGTCTACAGTCTTCTATAAAACTCCAGTGAAAGTGCTTTCTCTTAGCATTGTTAAAAATAACAACTTGTCTCATACCGTCATTACGGAGTGTTCCACTTACTGAAATCAAGTTCCCAATAACCCTGAGACAAAATAAAGATATTAGTTATATATTAGGATATATACATTTTACACACCTGAGAAGAAACTGTACTAGGATCCTGGGTCTGTGATGGCTCTGCGTTAGTTGTTGGTATAGGACCCAGACGATCTTTAACAGACTGCTTCAAGGCTGTCACAGCAGGTAGGTGAGATGAGGACTGAAGTCCCTATTTAAATAAAAGGGAAATTATTTTCCTATTATTTCTTTATATCAAGTTATACATTTTTATATCTTAAATGATTTTCCAGTTCTGAACTATTTCATAAAGTATTATAAAGTTATAAAGTACCTGTGATGGAAGCTGTGTTTTTGTTGCAGCATCTTCTCGATGCCAGAAAACTTTGATAAAGCGATTATTAAGCACAGCTTCGGTGCTTGAAATAGCTCTTTTGGCTTCTTCATGTGTTAAAAACTGTATTAAAGCACCTTCTGGGTCATTCTGATAAGCAACCTAAAACACAGTAATAACATTTGATAGTAAACCAAAGGGAAAAGAAATCCATGTCTCTTGATTTTCACACTCCTCAAGAATGGAAATCACACAGAGCAACTTTCAAATTGTGTTATCTGACTGTCACACTGTTGCCAGATTTTTAAAATGCAAAGTTCTAAATAAATTAAAAGGAACTAAATGTTATTTAAATATTTTTCTAATAAAACGTTTACCAGTAGTACAAATTCTAAATAAGACGACACATTCACTGAATACACTGAACCAAATTTTTGACCTGTTTTAAATTCCAGATCTCTAGTAATTGTTGCCATTTAATTGTTTAATTGTAATTGTTTGCCATCTGAGACAAATACATAATTTTCTCAAACATGATACAGATTTTGTAGTCTTTGCCACCTTCACAATATTCAAATAAATTAGAATACAAATAAGCCCTTCCTATGTAGAAGAATATTAAGCTTACCTGAAGGTTAACAATGGTTCCAAATTTACTGAAGTGCTCATTAAGCTTGCTGATATTATTAAGCTCCAAGGGAATTTTTCTTACTTCCAGCTTAGCATTTTCAGACCCAAATGGTATCTTCTTTTGAAATCCTTGGTTATTACACTTATTGAAATTTTGCCTAAGTAAAAAATAAATTTGGTATTAATGTATTTTCGGACCCTAGTAAATAAAAAAATAACTTAAAATCCTAAAATAAAAAAAAAGCAATCCAAATCCATAAAAGCAATCTAAAGCATACTGTGAAAGCAAGCTGAGCATTTAAAATAGTTTAATTATAAGGCTTGCATACACAGACCCTACATACCACGAGGTACAATCAAACTTTAGGAGTTTTGTTTTTTTCGGTTTCTATGGGGACACAATTAGATATTATCATATCAGAATACCTAAAATATAAACCCATTATTAACAATCAGAACATATTGAAAACATCAGTATGTCTTAAAAAATAAGGAACACAAATTAACTGTCTAGAGTATAAACCAAATATAGATCTTTATATTTTTGATAAGTTTAACATTTTGCTAAATCAGATTTTTACACATTTGTTTGTTATAATGAAATAAAACTTATCACCCCCATCTTTTTCAACTGTTGAAAAAATTGATTTTTAGCCAGTAAAATTAAAACTATCTTATGGTACAGTTTAACTGCTTACAAGTCTAAGAAGTTTTCGGATGTATAATCCGTATTTAATATAGTGTTAAACAACAAGAAAAATTAAATTAAAACACAATTAAATTAATAGCTAGACATACTGAAAGACTAGTTTAGTAAATTAGCATAATTTGTTCTTAAACATTTTTAATCATACACATTGTTTTGAAAAGTTTATCTACTTTTGAATTGTGTACCATAATATTTAGATACAGTAAACTCAAGTTAATGGACGATGGATTTAATGGGCAAACCCTGCTAACAGAGAATTGTCTGTCAATTCAGAAATACATACACATATTGCAACATTTTGCAATAAGCAATTTGTAACGATGGGTGTCTATTTCTTATGTTTCAGCACATTTTAAAAAAATAAAAAATGTACTAAAATGACAGCAATGTGTAAAAAAGTATTGTTAATGCACATATAATGAAACAAGTTAAAAATAAATACAGAAGTACATAACTACATAAGTTTAAACTAAGGAATATCAATGTTAGGTCAAAAGATACTATAGAACACAAGGAGGACATATGAACTCAATGCAGATAGCAACCCAGGAATTAACCCAGGGCCTCAGCACTGAGGCAGCAATGCTAACCACTCTACCAACTCCCTCCCCCTCTACTAGTGCTTTAAACGGAGGGTATACTGTATTGAAACATTTTTAATTATAGCATTAGAATTCAGAAAAAAATACCCACAAAAGGTAATTCCTAAAAGGACAAAATTGACAATTTACATTTTCTAAGCAAAAACAGAGCTGCTAAGATGCATTTTCTAAATTGAATTTCAAATGTCCTAAGAACAGTTTGCAAAACTTCTATGTTAACATTTAAATTGCTACATTTTTGTGCTTAACTTACTTGTCAAACCAAGGTTTCTTTGGAGGAATGCCACCATCTAATGAAGCTGATGTTCTTTTTCTGGACTCTGATTCAACAACAATTCTCATGTTGTTACTGTTAGGTTTTTCTGTAAAAAGTTTTAAAATTTTAACTCAAACATTTTAATAATGACTTGACAAAGTTAACGTTATAAAGAGTAAGAAATATTGCTGGAAATGAAAAGCATGGGACAAAAACAGCAAGGCAGTTCTCTTGGGCATCAAGGTGAAACATATTCCAATTTAAGGATACAAATGAGATAAAAAAAGTTTAAAAGATAGATTTTGAAACTTAAAAGAAATCTAGTTAACACTTAACCCAGGTACCTCCAGGTTGGTGCATTCATCTTCCACTCTAGGTTTACTGGAATACCCCTAACCCCACCATCACATCATCTTTACATACATTATATGCATTATGTCCAGTTATGTAGAAGACCTTTTTTTTTTAATTTTCAAACAAAAATACTGATTCACAAAAGTATCATACTAACAACCAAGTGCTTTCCTGACATACAGTATCTTTGAAATTAAGAGGTTTGCACAAAAATGTTCTTCATACCTCGATGTGGAAGATCCACTTCACCCAGTGTCAGGCCTATTAAGTTTGGTCTTTGGGCATGAACTCTGTGTCTATAAACGGGTCTTGAAGTGCTGGTTATGCTTGGTGCTTCAGGATTATATACATCAGTTTCATATGTTTCTGCAAATAAAAAAAAAATGTATACACAAAGTAGGAGTACCTGATTAGACAACATCTTTATTGTGAGAAACACTCATTTGAAGACCCCTGCTTAAAATATCAGAACTGACAATTAAAGTAGTAAGATAATTATTTTACAATAGAAAACAGAAAACATCTATTTACACAAAGTTAAGGGTCTATGGAACATGCTTTCCATTCAGATGGTTGAGATTGGGATTCTGGGCTCTTTCTTAAGTAGGAGCTGGACAAAATCTGAGATTCAATTAGCTAAAAGCCCAAGATTTGAGAGCTTAGGATCCCCTGCTGACCCCCAATTGCAACACAAATTCCATAGAGCCACAGGGACTAACTCACATCCTAGAGAGGTTGTGCACATGCCACTGAGGAAAAGTGTAGGCTGAAGTTACATATAAGAAGTGTTCACACCCTACATAGTTTATGGCATTAACAAAGAAATAAGGTATTACAGAAATAACAGGCATCTCTAGGGGATGACTTGGGGAAAAATCTTAACACTTACAGGGGAACTGCAGTCATAATTTCTTAGACTGGTTAATAAATCTCTTTAAGTAAATTAATTTAAGGTATTGCAAAATTGTACTAATTCCAAATTAAGCACAAAATCGTGAACTTTGTGCAAGTGCTGTATGGTCGCCATATTGCAACCGCTGGTCTTACCATGGGCAAGACTGAGAGTTTGTGAGAACTTGTGACTTAAGCCAGTCCTTCCTGCTCAGTAGTTATTGTAATGAGTGAATAAGTACAGGTTGTGCATCAGACAGAAAAGTTCCAACATCATCTACATGCAAGTTAACAAGTAGTATTTGTCAGCAAAACCATTTAAAAATCAATATATTTAGATATTTCTATTGGATTAAAAGAGAATTCACAAGCTAGCTTGTTTACAATACAAAAGTGATAAAGGGTGAATTGGAGATTTTACATGTTATTGTGTACGTTTTACTTTCATTGTGGTTTGAAATGCACTCATCAATATAAAAAATAACGTTGCAGTTATTAAAAATATAAAAATAACGTTGCAGTTGCCCTTTAACATTTTTGTAAAAGATGGGAAGAAAAGAAAAGGTGCAGGGGTGAGACTACAAATCAAAAATAACCTACCAATTAGAGAACTGATGCAAAAGGCTACAGGAAGTTTGGAATCTATATGGTTAAATTCATAAATATTCTCAAGGCTTAACAGTACATGTATGCTATAGACTACCTAAAGCAGACAATCATAGTCAAAGGAATTTACTGTACGATAAGATCTGGTAGACATGCAGCAAAGAGACTTTAATGAGCAAAATCACTTTTACACAAATTGGGATATGTTGTGAAGAGGAATAAAGAAGCCAAAATTGTTGTAGTATAAATCATGGGCAGAATTCAAAGCTATAATGTAACAAAATTACAAGTGTAAACTATATCTTGCTGATATTGGAGCATATAACAGAACATTAAGCACACCTCTTTTAAAAATGGTTTTCTTCCACTTGCCAAGATTATTCTGAACTTATTTTTGAAGCAACACTACTAGTCATTTGTGAATCATTGTAGAGAGAACATTTTATTGTACCAGAAACAAAAGCTACTTATGGTAGTTGTAAAATGTATCTGTTGTCTATTTCCCATTCAAAACTTCCCTCATCGGAAATCTGAAAGGCTTGTATTTTTTTGGGTTTTGTTCCAAGACGGACCTCTGTTTAAAGTGAATAAACATAAGCCCTTGTTTTGCTAGAAGATAAGCTTTCTTTCTGCCACTGCAAAAGTTTACTGCATTTCATACAATAATTTAAATTGCTTTTCCAATTAGCCATCATTAAGCGAGCTGTTTATTACTTTAACATTCTCCTTTCCTAAGTAATCCCTTCCCACTTTTGGAACTTTACCCCCCAAAAAAGAGCAAAAGCATAAACAGCACCATCTTGTGGCAATTCCAAGTAATTACATATAGGTTCCTTATTGCTTCTTAAACCAGTTTGTTAAGGCACTAACTATGAAAGACTTTTCCTCCATAATTTTTGTTAGAACCAGGATGTGAAGGATGTTTATGTTTATGGATGCGTCAATTAAAGAAACCAATATTGGGAAGGTGTGAAATAAGTACCAACACTAGATCTATTGGGGTGGATCTCCTGTTTATTGTAAAAACATTCACTTTTTCTTTTCATTAGTGTTTCATCTCTGATTTTTACTAAAAAAAACCTCCAGAAACCTTAATTTGGTTAATTTACACTGCAAATGTATCAGATTTATTTGGTCTTTTAGTAGTAGTATAATCTTGTGCTGCAATGAAACTAAGAAAAACAAATCTGCTGGACCAAGCACAACAGTACATTTTGTAGGACAGATCATAACAGACAGTATGAACTGGCCAACCCTGATATTGCTTCAAGTCTACAATGCTGCTTGGAATACTTTAGCAATAGTTAAATACAATTTATAATGAGTGCAATTTACTATTATATTTCAAAATTATTGGTCTATGTGAAAGCCCTAAATTAAACAATATTGTCATCAGATGAGCAAATTGGAGTTTGCCATTTTAAAACTTAAGAAAAAAATTACCTCCATAGAATAAACAATAAAAAGTCCAATAACAAGACAAAACAGAAATAGAAAAGTAACATAAAGCTAAGTCAAATTGCTTTAATCTATTTACAATATTTTTAACTTCCATGTTTATTATGTATTATACCATAAAAACTGGCATAACACCTTATATGTGACTATATAGAATATGTAATTATATGTACGGCCATCAATGTGGTGACAAACCTTAATTCAGCAGTTCTTAATTGCTATAATCGGAGAAGAGGAAGCAGCTACATTCCAGGGCCTAACCTAGTCCTTTATGCAATTGACCTGCTGTTTTTTTTTTTGTTTCCTCAGTCGAATCCTTGGCTTTCTTGGCTGCTATGGAGTATCAAAAAAGTTACCACATTTATAAATATTACCCATTCTAAAGGCAAAGCCCCTTACTCTCTCTGAAATGTTAGAGCCAGTCTGATTGAAGCCTTACACCTGATCCCTTATGAGGCAATTATATTTGACAGAAACCAAGTGACCAGACAGGTCAAGAAACTCCTAGAAAGAATCAGACCATTCTTGGGTGGCAGTACCCCCAAACACTTTTGGGGACTTCACAGTAAAAGGGAGAGACCTCAGAACAGTATAAAGACTCTGCATCTTCTCTCTCTGATCCTCCAACAAAGAAGCTGAACAATGAGTGGGCTATCCTTGGGCTTTTCCTTTGTTTAACACAGATGTGCCAGATAATCGGAGAACTCAAGAGTGATCCTAGAATTTAACAAACTGTGGTCATATACTATACCTGTAGGCATATCACTTTCCTTTTTTGAGGTATCCACAAAGCCAAAGCAATAACTTGTGTTTTGATGGACTTTTTATAGGATTAAAGGTTTATTCTTAATTAGAAAGTTACTTTTTTGTTTTGCATAAGAAAAACTGTTTTAAGTTTAATTTTTTTATAGGAAAGGGGATAATTTTTCCTCTACAGTATTTGAGTCTTATTTGCAGGTTACTGCTTTTGCATGTTGGTCTTTTTTACATTTTTGGACAAAAGGATATTTGATATTAATTTCAACAATACTGATAGATAAAGGTGATCTAATTTTAGAAAATAACATGGAAAAATCACATTGTGCACTCATTTGTACTATTTAAATCAACAGAAATGCAATTTCCTCATGCAGAAAAAGTTAGTACACCCGTACCTTCATCACTGCATCAAATGCCTAAAATTAGAATCAGGTGCAAATGATAAGAACATCATTAGAGAGTAACTTGGAGGGCACTGCCTTAAATAAACATCAGAAAGCTGTGGTCTGGTTTTGTCTTAGCAATTGAGGTGTGTGACTACATCATGCCAAGATCAAGAGGTTTCTGAGGCCCTCAGAAGAAAGATTGTTGATGCCTATGGGTCTGGGAAGGGTTTTAAAGCCATTTCCAGCAATATGTAGTCAATCACTCCAATGTCCAAAAGATCATCTACAAATGGAGAAAACTTCAAACCACTGACAATCTATCCAGGCCAGGTCGTCCCACCAAATTCAGCCCAAGAGCTGACCGAAAGATGCTACAGGAAGTCTCCAAGAACCCCAGGATAACAAGATAGGATTTAAAGGCAAGTCTTGCCTCAGTTAATGTCAAAGTGCAACCATCCGAAAGAGACTGCACAATTGGCGAGGTCAGGAAGGAAGAAGCCTCTGCTCTTAAAAAAGACTGAAGTTTGCCAGACAACACCTAGGTGAAGATCAGGACTATTGGAACAATGTGCTCTGGATGGATGAGACAAAGGTAGAGCTATTTGGCCACAATGCCAGACGTCCTGTTTGGTGAAAAACAAAAACAACCTTTGACCAAAAGAACCTTATTCCAACTGTAGGGCACGGTGGTGGAAGCATTATGGTTTGGGGCTACTTTTCTGCCTCAGTGCCTGGGCAGCTTGCCATCATAGAGTAAACCATGAATTCCACATTGTACTTGAGGAAAAAGTGAGGCCATCTCACAAAAAGCTGAACCATAAGTGGACCTTGCTACAAGACAATGACCCAAAACACTCAAGCAAATCCACAAAAGAATGGCTCAAAAAAGAAATGGAGGGTTATCAAAAGGCCAAGTCAAATCCCAGATCTCAGCCTCATGCTGTCTGGGGACATGAAGCGGGTAGCACATGCAAGAAAACCCTCAATCATCACAGTTGAAGGAGTTCTGTAAGGAGGAGTGGACAAAAATTCCTCCACATTGATGTAGGAGACTGATAGACAATTACAAAAAAATTCAGGTGGGTAGCTGCATCAGCATGCGTAGGCTGCAAAGGAACAAGTAACAGGTTTACTCCATGCTGAAAAAAAGAAGAAAGAGAACACAACGTTTCAGCCGTGGAGCCTTCTTCAGGTGCTCGCACTTATCACACCTGAAGAAGGCTCCACGGCTGAAACATTGTGTTTTCTTTCTCCTTTTTTTTCCAGCATGGAGTAAACCTATTACTTGTTCAATTACAAGAAACACCTACAACAAGAGGTTTATGCCAAAGGGGGCAACACCAGCGATTGAAGCTAGAGAGTGTTCTTAATCTTTCCCACAGCAGACAACTGAATTTCTGACTTTGGACTTTCTGAGTTGGAATCATTGCTTTAATCTATTCATATCAGTATTACCTGAAGTAAAAAGAGGAGGTTGAGTCTGAGGAGGATGATGAATCCCCGATGTGACAATTGTAGGTACTGAACTTGTCATGGAGTTTGGTGGGGCATCCATTCCAGAAGGCTGGAGAGGTGGGAGAGGAGGTGGAGGACCTTAAGATTGGAAAACAAGTTTAAACTCAGAATATAAGCGAACATTAGACCCACTGGTAAGTGTACAAAAAGAACATCCAAAAATAAGAAAAAAAAGTGAATGAGCATTAAAAATTAAAGCATAGGAAAGCATTTGATTTATACCATTAATGATTATATTTACCTGCTACAGGTGGAAGACTGGGAGGTAAAGGACCCGGTGGGGGCACTGGTGGCCTCAAATTCACAGGTGGTGTCATGAGTGGGGGTGGAGGAGGTAGGCCAGGTGGGGGAGGACCTTCAACAACAGGAGGGGGCTGTCCTTGAAAGGGAAGAATGCCTGGCAGATTCACATCTTCTACAACAACTGGATCACTGCCATGGTCAAAAGGACACATATCGCCTCTCATGCAGAAACCCTTTTCTGGAGAGAAAAAAAATCATGAAAGACTGAAGAGTTACTCTACATTCTTTACTGCACAACCACAGCTTCATGTCTGGCAAGTAAAAAGAGTTGTGTTTGGGATGTTTTTTATCGTTGTAAATTTCAAAGATCACCAAATTACCTTCTTTTGCCCATGAGGTTCAACAAAAAAAAAATCAGGCAAGTTTACTGTACCTTGGTGCAATGCTCACTGGAAGTTGCATGTGTTGTTTTTATAAACTAGAATTTCTTTAGTAAAAACAATGGACAAATTTGCCATACCAAAAATAATCATTTTAATTGGGTATCATCTTGTGTTTTGTTTTAAAAGACATTTAAAATCCAACTTTAAATATTGTTTTTCAAAAAGTTAATAAACATATCTGATGAAACTGTAATTTACCATCATAGTCTCGACAGCGTTTTCTTTGTGGAGGTCCTCTTACATATGAACCATGATCCAGCTGATCTTCATGAAACTCTGACCAGCTTTCTGTGGTGCTGTTGCCGTGGTGAGTTGGCGCTATGACAGTAATGGTACTGCTTAGTGTCGGGACAGGGAAATGGCTAGAAGAAACATTTGACACTAAAGTTCCCGGAGTATAGTTGTTTTCTGAAGGCTCTGTTCTTTCAGTTCTGTCATGCTCATACTTCAATTTCCCAGTGTCTCTTTCTAGGTATAAATAAAACAAAAAAAAGAAAGGGAGGCCATCATAAACGACTTTCAAAAAACAAGATATTAAATAGACATTTAAAGTATTCACAACAATATAAAAACAAAGCTATAAGTGTTTTATATAGAATCGTGCACAAAGTATAACTTTAAAAAAACCTGTATATCAAGATACTTAAGATGTAGTAATGTAAATTTCCACAATTCAGAAATCTGCGATTTCAATATAAGTGCATATCTATCAATGCTCAAATATTACCATAAATGAATCTCTTTCAAGACTATAATAACTCCCTCAGTAAAAAAAATAGTTACCTATGAAATGCCAAATGGACCATTTAAATAGAGTGAAAAATTACCTCTGCTTCTTGTTCTGCTTTGGCTTCTAGATCTCGTCCTGCTTCTCTCCCTGTCTCTGTCACGGGGCCGATCCTTACTCCAGCTCCGGCTGCGGCTCCTGCTGTAGCTGCGACTGCGTCCTCGCCTCCGTGTATACCGATCCCTGTATGAATCCCGCCTTGAAGGATTTCGGTCATAATCCCTTTTGCGTGAGCGATCATCTTTTTTACGATCATCTCTGGTTCTATGTAGAAAAAAAAAAGTCACCAAACCTTCAAGATACTTATACTATATACAACTTCCAGTTGCATATACTCACGGAGCTAAAAAATCAAAACAGTTCTTAACAGTTATTGCACTAACAAAACTAACCTGAAGTAAAATGTCTCTAACCGTTTAGTACAAAGTTTTCCTCAAGATTTTTAAATCCTTCTATTGTTCAAGTCAGACTCTGAAAGATTCATCTTGCAAACTAAGCAATATAGCAAAAAGAACTAAAGCATTTACAATCAACTTTGAAAACAATTTATTAAATTTGTTCCCTCTATAAAATGGCTAAAAAGGCATCAAGTGACTTTGTGACATGCAAGAAGGGACAACAGATGGGCATTTCTTGTGATATCAACACTCAGCTAAGCAATGAAGCAAACTAAGGGGTAGAGTGCTGCTTTTAAAAGAGAAGCAATCTCAGAGTTACATGTTTGAACAAGCTGATATGTTAATACTGCATTTAAAATAAAATAAAATGAATTTGTTGTTTTGGCAATTCAGAAACTCATTTTTATTTGGAAATTTTTCCATAAGAAACATTTTTGACCTGAAACCACACAGATGGACCTTCATCAAATTCTCCGAAATCCTCACAAAGAATTTGTTATAACGGGAAGTAATTAAACATAAATTAAAAACATAAGAATCCTTGAAAGCTGGTGCAAATCCAGTGCATTGGAAATAAATGTAACTAAGACTAAAGAGCTTCTTTTCAATGCTGAAACCGATAGAGAGCAAACTTTGCAGACAATAGTACTAAATGGTAAGTCTGTAGAGATTGTGGAGTTTTAAATATCTGAGAACACATACTGATCAGAGGCTGAGTTACATGAGAATATAGACAACATCTTTAAGAAAGCAAAGCAGAGGCTGTTTTCAAATTCAAAGACTCAAGAACTTTAATGTTGTTTTTTTTCAAAATATCCTCGAGATGGCATATAAAAGCCTTGTTGAGGGCATCCTAGCATTTAACATGACAATGTGGTATGGAAACCTGGGGATGAAAAGCAAAATCAGATGGTCCAGGATTGTGAAAATGGCAGGAAAAATAATCAGCACACAGCAGGCCACTCTATTCTTAATATTCATAATACTACCATAAGGAAGACGGTATAGGATACCAAATTAAAACTAAAAAACATTTACAAAAAGGAACAAGTAATAGGTTTATTCCATGCTGAAAAAAAGAAGAACGAAAACACATTTCGGCCGTGGAGCCTTCTTCAGGTGTGAACACCTTTGCAGCCTACGCATGCTGACGCAGCTACCCACCTGAACATTTATAAAAAGTCCTTTGTCCTCTCTAAAATAAAACTACTCAATAAAGGTATGTAAATGTATTCCCCCCTGTACCTATTAATTTGTCCAACTATTTATGAATCCAATACTGTTTTGATTTAATATTATATTATGCAACTTATGTTTTGCGCTTCTGTGGGAGAAGCCAAAGAAATTTCCACAGCAGTGGACAAAGGAAGTATCTATCTATAATTCTATATAGCACAACTATGAGATATATCTGTATAAATTACACATCACTAAATCACTAAACATGTAATTTTAAGGGTAGAAACTCAGTAGCCACTGAAAATAGTCAAGATTCAAATGTATAATAATCTTCTTTGTAACTGGTTTTACATGATTTTAGTACAATCATGTACACCAATAGCAAAAGTCCTCAAACAAACTACAGTACTTTCGTATTCTGAGCACCAGGACGGACCTGAAATCTTTTTATAGTATTAATAAAGGCTGTGTTTTGAATCTCAGTAAATCGGTATACCAGGTTTACATTAAGAAGCACATTTGCAATTACATTGTGCAGTTTTGTTGTGAAGGTTTGATTCTGATCTGAACCTTTATAACAGGAAAGTATGACAAGTTTTAAAATTAATCCACGGGCAAAGATGTCCATGTTACAAAAAGGTAGAATTCACGTAAAAGGTAGAATTAGATAGATTATCTCAGTACTAAATGTGTGTTACCAACAATTTCTGGTTAACATGCAACCTGAATAATATATACAGATGCAGCCATTCAAAGTGCGCGGTACACACACGTACCGGAGGTAATTGGCTACGGTGTCGCCCATTGTGACGCACGATGACGCACGGTACCGCGGTACGTGATTGGTTGACCGACAGGGGCACTCGTGGTCCGTTGGTCTGTCATAGAAAGATTTACAGTAAACGTCTTTACTGTGCCCGTTGTAGTATTGAATATTTATATGGAATTTTACCACTGAAGGGAAATCTTAGTGTCTGAGCATAAAAAGAATAGGAGCATACTGCAACGAGTGTGATGGCTTTGACGTGCTAATGTGTTGGTTTATCAGTCCGGGTGTGGCAATGTTTTTTATTATTGTTAGAGAAACATGATCAGATTTTCCC